TATATGGCGGGCAAAACACAAGAATGGTCCTAGGGCTAGCGTAGGTCGACGATCGGCAGACAGAATCACAGCGGCGAGACTAGAGGGATAAATCCAGGGAGACAGGCAAAGATCAGAACCGAGAAAACTGACAAGGCAAGGCAAAACAAGGAAACACGGGAAGGATAACAGGAACTAGGAAAACTTACTGGCGAAGTAATAATCGGCAGTGAATGGTAGTTTGAGTGAGTGATATATAGTGAGTGAGTGATGTGAAACAGCTGTGTGCAATCCCTGCTGAGTGCAATCAGTGCAATGAATGATGGGATATGTAGTCCAGGGTGCTATGCAACAGTTTGTGTTGTGCGAGAGTCAATGTAATGGAAAGGGTGACCTCTGGTGGTGAATAAACGGAAGTCCATGGACTGAATGCGTGACAAAAATGGGTTTTGAATGTTGTTTTATGTTTTTGCACATGACTCTTGAACCCAACAGAATAATGTGCTCTAATTACTGTGATGGTGCATTGTTTACATTGCCTGGCAGTAATATTGTAATATTGACAGCTAGTGGTTGAAATGGATACTGCAGTTCAAATTCAAATATTGGAGAGCGTTGGTTCTCCCACACTCCTCCTCAGACTCGACGCTCATGCAGGTTGCCAGATGCAACAAGGAACAAACTCAATTGACATGTTAGGCAACAAACCTTACACTGTAAGTTGAGGAGTTGTTTTATCTGTGTTTTAATATTGCTGTGCTCTTAGAGCTTTTTCTATGGATGCCAAGGCTTTTTAATCAGGTAGAATTTGCGATCTCTGACCTAGTTTGTTTGCTGGCTTCTATTGCTGCAACATGCTGTTTTACGCCAACTGGCTGTCAAAATAATATTGGGTAAACTGGTAGTGGGCGGAATCACACTGACCAACACAAAAACAGACATTCCGACACATAACTCACATTTCAAAGCAAAATAACTGGCTGTAGCTTTGTTTGTTGGAGAAACAAGTATATGTGAACTTAGCATGCTTCCTAAATATCTGCAAATATTATGTTATTTTTATGCAGTCAAAAAATTGCATACCCCTTTAAAGGTGCCATATTTTACACCTTTCTGGTTTTATTTTAGGTTTTGATGTCCTTAAGAATATATATTTGTGGTATAAGTACCAAAAACCATCTCAATATATTTTTACAGCTCCTTTCTCAGGAGCTCTGCTGAGAACAGGTCGATTTTGGCCTAATTGGTCTAATTAATATTCATGAGCCTCTCTTCTGATTGGCCTGTTGTTTTCTGAGTGACGCATGGCCAGGCCAACCACAGGTAACTAGGGTCAGCGATGTCACTGCGCTAGCTGGAGGCAGCAAAACAAAGGGGAAACTGGAGGCGGCCCATTCAAACCAGCGCAGATTCGGCTACATGAGCTTAAAATATCATCTTTTTGTGATGTTGGGTGCCAGAATCGACGTAATACAGCCTCAAATTAGAAATTTGATTGCATATCTGCTGCCACTGCCAGACAAAAAACCGACGACAGCTGTGGTTAAACACGATCAAACTAGCAGACTGGACAGAAAGCAAGGCACCGAACCCCCAACTGCTCCCCGGGCGCCGCGGCATAAATGGCTGCCCACTGTTCCGGGTGTGTGTGCACTGCTGTGTGTGTTCACTGCTGTGTGTGTGCACTTAGGATGGGTTAAATGCAGAGCACTGATTCCTAGTATGGGTAACCATACTTGGCCACATGTCACTTCACTCACTTCACTTCACTTCTTATCATAAAAGGTTAAATAAAGTATTGTCTTTTGTTGTTATGGGCGCGTCTACAGATTTCTTGCCATATGTCTATGTTTCTTGCATCTCACGATTATGTTGTGTATGAAATAATGTCTGTGCATGTGTATAAAACAACAATACAAATGTCTATGTTTCTTGCATCTCACGATTATGTTGTGTATGAAATAATGTCTGTGCATGTGTATAAAACAACAAACTGACAATTTATATATAATCATTTGTAATTGCATATACATTGTTGTGAATAATTGTGTCTGGAACAATAATGTAGCTGTAAAAATAGTTGCCTGCTGATATTGAAATGTATATACATCTTCATCATGACTAGATAGACACGGTGAGTTTGTCTTTACTTTACATGTTAGATGTGATCCACCTCATAGTAACAATCCTGTCAGATCGTCCATCCTTTGAGTGAGAGTGTAACGTTACAGGTCGGCAGATCTGGTTTTGTGGTTAAAGTTAACCTTTTCGACATGTTTCCCTGTTGTCATTGCTCAGCAAAAGCATGGACGTGATGTTGTCTGGGTGTTTGGCAAAAGGAGAGTGGGACTGTGGGCGGTGCTCGGGGTGGTGACTGAAGGCGGTGACTGTAGTTCTGACGTCAACTTTTTACAGAAGTCACAATGGTTCGTGAAAAATCACAGCTACTTTATGCAGGCTGTGTGAATTTTACTGTGGACTGACTATTTTGAAACTTATATGGTAGTTAAATAGCCCCTAGACCTCAGTTATCGTGAAAAACAATATTTTTACAATATGGGACCTTTAAGGTAAAGGGTTTGTTCAAAATGAGCAAAACTAATGG